GTCCCAATTTAAAGTCATTCATGAATTTCATAAAAGAAAGTAAAATAAAACTTCATACTTTAGAAATTGAGAACATTGAAATTCTACGTTGAAATACATGAAGGTAACATGCGCAGTCACAAATTCCAAAATTTGATTAAAAGGAAAAATCAATTATTTCCAATTTGAAATATTAATTTCTACGTTGAAATACATAAGGGTAGAATGCGCAGTCACGAATTCCAAAATTTGACTAAAAGGAAAAAAATCAATTCTTTCCAATTTAAAATACAAATTCATGCATTTCAAAAAAGGAAACTTTCTTTCAATCACTCGATTTCATGAAAATAATTCTTTTGCGATTGCCATTGGGATTTCGATAATGTGGAATTTAATGTATTGATCATAATTTAAAATCAAGAATTACATTCATGATCCAAAACAAACAACATGTAGCGGAAAATTAAACATAATATTGCAACAATGACCTTGATAGAATTATTCCACTTCCGGTGGTACTCAAAGGATCAAACATAAGATTTATATAATATTCGTTTATTTATCTATCCTTTTTTCTTTTCACTTTTCATAATATTTTCCCACTTCAGGTGAAGAAAATATTATTTTATTTGCATTGTCGTACAATTATCTCACTTCGGGTGAGAAAATATCCTTTTATTTTCATTGTTGCACAACTATCTCACTTCTGGTGAGAAAAATATTCTTTTATTTTTCATTGTTGTACAATTATCTCACTTCCGGTGAGAAAAAAAATTGCTTGAAATTTCTCAATTTGACAATGTCTTCTGGATCATTGCAAAATCATTATATATGTATATATATATAACATTCATGAAGAATTATACAATTTTACAACACATATCATTCACGGAGAATCATTCAATTTCAAAACCATGCTCTGATACCACATGTAAGTTCTATGATTTTCTAATACATCAATTATAGAAAATTAAAGGATCTTTGAAATTCATGATACTCACATAATAATAAGAAAGTGTGTACCTTTCTCCATAGTAGAAAACTCCTTTGATCCTTATAGTACTTTGATCTTCTTGAAAAGAACCAAGATTTCACTCCCTTTGACTTTTCTTTCTACTCTCTCTATCTTTCGTGATGGCTAGGGTTTGAGAGAATACTTTCTGTCAGGGTGTGGACCTTGTCTCACATTAGTGGATATTTATAACCCCTAAAGATTGTTATTTCTATCAAATAAAGATTATTCTCATAAATGCTCCATTAAACCCATTTATGATTTAGTCTTTAATTATTTAATTATTTATTTATTAGTCTATTTATATATTACATATTTCTCACATAAGACATAATTATCTTACACTTTATTTAAAACCTTCATTTATTACTTTATTATTTTAATAAGTAATAACAATAATAATGTATTAAAATATACATTTCTATCGGTTAAAAGGTTTAAATTGATCCATTATTTTTCAAAAACAATGCAATGTAATGGTTTTTTTTTTCTAGTTGAGACTAGTTAACTCCTTGTATATGTGACATTGTAAAAAGATGACATTAATCATAAAATGTACAAAAAAAAAAATAACATTGTTAATCTCAATTAGACATAAATAATCACATTACATTATTTTTAAAAATTAAAAGAATAAGTTGAATTTTCTAATAATAGAGGGACCAAGTGAAACTAATTAAATGAAATGAGAGACAAAGAAAATAATGCAATTTTTTTATAAAAAAAAAACTGAAATTAATTATTTTTTTGAGGGAGTACAAATATTATTTTACCCTATAAAAATTTTCACCCCTTATATGATCATTCTTTTGCTGCATTAACAAAAGTTTAAAATTAGAGTTGACCACAATTGTTCGGATTGAATGATTATGTATGAGTAAACCATCTTATTTTGTATCTTCTTGTTGAATAAAATAAATCTTGGCGAATTTCTAGTTTTACTTTCTATTAGAATACCATTTTAAAATGATATTTAATGTAATTAGTTGTCCCTTTGTCTTAAGCATTGTAGTAGAGGCAGGCGAAAACAATTATTGTAAATCAACATCAACATAATAGACAAATCTTTGTAAGTGTACGTTCGTCACCTAGGACTTTAGGAATGGGATAATTATTCATGGTTATTTTATTCTTCATCTTGACATTATTCCACTTGTCTTAGAGAGGGATGAGTATTGAGTGTAATGAGTAATATTATTCACTTGCTATGTTTATGTATTTTCACTGTATTTAAGAAGAAAAAAAATTAGTGTGAGCGTCACATTCCAGTGCTGTTGCAAGAGAGACTGCACCTGTAGGATCCTCTTTCTGCGAGCAAGGATCCAAAGGTCTCAGACTCAGGTGTTAGTGTTGTTCACCGTCTCTACTATTAAAAAAAAAATTATATTATATTAGTTATAATATAATTTACATATTAAAAATATTTATTCATTATAAATTATATTATATAAAATAAAAAATATTGTGTATTACATATATTAAAATTCTAACTTAAAAAAAATAAAATCTAACCAGAAAAAAAGTAATTAACTTTTATTCTTAAAAAAAAGGTAAATCTTTTGAAATGTGGAATGGAACAAGAGTGAGAAGCGGAAACAGATATGTCCCAACGACCTCGGAACTGATTCATCACAATCGGATTAGGCGTTAAACGGCTCCTATCCTATATTCCAATTAGACAAAACAACCTTCGGGCTTGGTCAAATTACACAAGAAAACAAATATTGTGTCGTACATAATGACGTGAATTTTTATTTTTTTATTTTCACAACGTGAATTTCGTTAATTATATAAAAAGGGTGAATACTTGGGGACAAAAAGTACCATTAACATTTTGATTCTTAATAAAAGAAAAAATACTAATCATTTGGTAGACATTTTAAGAAAAATATTTCTGTAAATGTTATAAATGTGTTTCATATGTTTAAAATATTTTAAAATATCATAATGAATGTAACTAAAACATTTTTCTCATTAATTTATAAGAATCTTGGATTCCTAGCCCTTTTAAGAAAATGTTTTATTTGGAAAGTGTAGTTTAAATTGTGGATATTACAATTACAATAATAATACAAAATAGTGTTAGTTCTGATATTGACCAAATTAAGGTAATATATTAGTCATAATCAACTATATGTAAATTAGAATAGTCCATGAATTTTTAATATTATTTTTTGATATATTTCAATTTGTGGCAGCTTGAGTCGATGTTACCTATCAACTTCACCTTGCGATGGTTAGGCTAACGTTACTTAAAAAAACAATGGGTATTAATGTAATCGTCCTTGCTTCTCATCAAAATTCGAGAGCCAAACTCTCTTGCTTCTTCAGTCATTTCCCCTCCAACAATTTAGAAAATAAAGGTTGGTTGTTCCTTAATCTCCACTTGCACAATAGTTAGGGTTAAATCGAGCAACGATAAAGAGGTTTTTAGTTATTGTTTCTTGTTGGTTAATGGGGTTCTAAGTGGTTCATAGGCTTAGCACGTGTGCACAAAAGAGAGGGGGAAATACAAGAGAGAGGAAGAAAATGAATAGGGAAAAAGTGAAAATTATATACATTTAATTATCTTTTTTAATATATGTAAAATTGATTTTTTTTGTTTATATATAAATTTAGAAGTAGTAATATGTTTCGACTAATGCAAAGACATAACATAGTCATTAGTGTTGATTTTTTGTCAGACACTAATTTCTATTTTTCTTATAGTAGGATAAATATTTTTTAAAATATTTATACCAAATATGAAAATATATTTTCAGCGTGAAACTTTAAAAAATCTCTTACTAAACACTATTTTAGTAATCCTAAGAAATTATCTATTAACTTACAAGAACTAAATTAAAACGAGTAAATTTCTTTTGAAATTGAATTAAATATTTTTCATTATGCCAATATAATCTATTTATAGTTTATACTATTATATAATAAGGGTATGCATTTTATAATATCATCTCTTAGTTTCCATTTTTATATGGACTATTTTCTCCCTTGTTTTTTCTTCTTCTACAACTTCTTAAAACTACCTTTTCTTACAAATAATTTTTCATTTATTTATTTTATTTAAAATTACAATAACTGTTGATAATATATATATATATATATATATATATATATATACTTTTTAATTCAGTGTAAGCATAAGGTACCTTTTTTTATGCTAGTATCACATTAAAGAAATGTTTTCTAGAGAAATGATAGTTAAAAATTTCAATTGGATTAAAGAATGTAGTCGTTGGTTTTCAAGCACACGCTAAAAGAAAGAAATGGAAGAAATGGTCGATTGATTATCGTAGAATACTTTTACAAATCAATTATCAGAATAGTATTGTTTTGGAGCTAATTACGGGTTTTTTTTTCCATGTTAGCCAAGTCTGCATATGCCACGTGGTATGTCATATGAGATCCAAACAATTAATATATATTTCTCAAATTGTGTTTCTTGTTTCACATTTATACCGTTTTTTTCATCGTACTTCGCTCGACATGTTCGAGGGATTTGGGTCTAAGACGCTTGCCCACATTCATGAGAAATTATATACAAAAAGAAAGAGTACGTAATAAGACAATTGATATGATGAAGAAAACAAAAGTAAAAATAATATTATAAATAAATGTTATATCTTTGGTGAATCGTGATTCATGACCTTTAGTTCTAACATCAATAAATTACTTGTACCTTTGAGCTTTCCAACGGATATTTGTGTTATTCATCATCTCCACTCTTTTCAACTGCCTCAAAAGCCTTCTCAGCGTCCATTACCATCCACAAGCCAATGAAACCCGAAGATCAATTAGGTGGACTTTGTCTAAAATATACAACAAAAAATGACTATGAACTCCAATTGATTAATTAGTTGCGGCATCATACCCCACAATTATATGTTGTAGCCAACCGGCTTGGCATCACTCGCATGTCACATTGAATAAACAAAGCCACGAGTCACAACATTAATGTTCATGTGTGAGTGTGACTAGGCCCTCTTGCATGTGCACTCATCTATATCTATATATATTTACATCATATGTTAGGAATAGGAATATGATATATTCTGTTCGACCTTGAGATATTCTTGTCTCGGTCAAAAAAGAGAGTGGTTGAAGTTGAATTAACTTGTTCAAAAGATGGTGGATAACATTGGAGGCAGTTCCTCTAATGCTGAAAACAGTGGCATGAGGGAACAGGACCAGCTGTTGCCAATAGCCAATGTTGGGAGGATCATGAAGCAGATTTTACCTCCCAATGCGAAAATCTCCAAGGAATCAAAGGAAACAATGCAAGAGTGTGTGTCAGAGTTCATAAGCTTTGTAACGAGTGAGGCCTCAGAGAAGTGCAGAAGGGAAAGGAGGAAGACTGTGAATGGAGATGATGTCTGCTGGGCCTTGGCATCGCTTGGTTTTGATGATTATGCAGAGCCATTGAGAAGGTATTTGCATAGATATAGAGAACTAGAAGTAGATAGATCAACTAACCAAGATAGAGGAAATAGCCCCCTCACAAGAGAAGGATCATGAGATCATGTAGCTAGAGAAACTAGGCAGGAAAGGAAATTGATTAAACTAACCAAAAGCTCAGTAAAATGTGTCTGAGACAAGGCTAGTTTAAGGTTTTGAGAATATGAGATAATTTATGTAATAATTTTCTTGTCTTAACTGGTTTTATTTGTGTCATGGTTCAAGAACTAGCTAAAATACTTGTTGTGTGCTTCTTACATGTATCTATGTCATGCGCTGTTGGTATCTGCATCCTTTTATTGATAGGCTTGTTATGTTTTTGAGAATCAACATGAATCCTGGCCTTAATTGGTACAATTGGTGCCAAGTATTCGACATGCACAAACACACAGTTAAGACTTAAGCATAAGAAAAAAAATTCAACTCTAAAGACCGGATCTCATGCCTTCATAAGTATCCTACTAAGCTTCTTATTCTACGTTTAGTAGGACTCCCGATAGAAACATAAATATATACCGTGTTTATTGCTTCCATACATAGGATGATATATTATATATATTATACTTTCACTAAATCAAAGGATGAAATATTCCCAACAATCATGAATCCCTCGTTCTTCATTATCATCGATCACTGGAACATGTCCTAATTGGACAAGGATTATTCTTAACTCAAGATTGATATGAAAGGATATTTACCCTAAAGCAAAGTTCCCAAGACAGAAAGCCTGTGGTTACTAGATCACTGTCATCATGCATGTATGTATCATTTTATCCAATGTTTCATTGAGGAGAATCTAGGAATTTGCTACCACTTGATACATTTCCTGATCGATTTCCATGAACTTTCCATCCCTTATTTAAAACCTGAAAGATCGATGTTTGAATTTTTTTGCTGGCACCTATGCTTCATTCTCCTTGTTTTGTTGTAACCTTATCTGAAAGTCTCCATCGCCGTCACCAAAAAGACTGGTATAAAGTCACTTTCTGCTGGGATTTAAAATAGAGAATTGTTAATCAGAATCTATAAAATAGTACGTCACTAAACGTTACGTTAATATAGAGTAATGAATCTTCAATCTCATGCTATGGTAACAGTTTCGTGAACTCATAATTTTAAGAGTATGGGACCACATTCTACCAAATTAACTATTTATATTCGTTTCATGTCAACACATAACCCCAAAAAGCAGTGGAGTTTACAAGCTGTTTTGATTCATCGTACTAGGCCGTATTTCTAAACATGGGAACGGATCGTTTGAGGTTACTTTAAAAAACCTAAGGTTCTTTCACACAATTTTTTTTAATACATCAGCGTGTCTCCCAACGTTTTGAAAAAAATTAATTTGATCTCTAAATATATATATATATATATATATATTACAATTACGTCCTTTCTTTTTTTAATTTTTGTAATTAAATTTCTAAAGTTAATTTATAAAGATTTAAACAAAAATAATAATTTGTAGTGATTTTACTAAATTAAAAACCTGATCGAATTACATAAATTATAAAAGATTAATGACTTAATTACAATTTTTTTAGTTTAACAATCTAATTTTTTGATTCTCAAAAGGTTTATAGACATGCATGTTTGAATTTTTTTATTCCTTTCAAAAACACTTATAGAAAAAAAAATAGAAAAAAATAGTTTATACATTAACTAATGTATAGCTAGAGATTATTTTGTATTATTGAAAATTTATTTTTATCTTATAACATAAGTTAATTTTAACTTATCAATAAATTTAATTTAATTTAATTATTCTATTTTTTCTCTAAGTTTTGAAAAAGTTTATTTGACCAGACTCTTACAATTTTTACTTTCAAAGTTACACAATTTTGTGAATTTTGTTTTCAATGATTTTTTTATTATTTATTACAAATTTTGCTCCCAATCTATAAAATATCACAAAATTTGTCTCATGTACTTAGTAGTCACAATTAAGAATATTTTATGGCAATTATTCCTTTAAAAACCTACCAAATTGTCTTAATTGTGACAATTTAAGTATTTGTAGTCAAAATTTGTAATATTTTATAAATTACAAGACAAAACTTGTGAATAAAAAAACTTTAAGGACATCATGAGATTATATATAACTCTAGAAAAAAAAATACAATTAAGCCTTTGTTTATACATACGCGAATCTATTTTCTGTTAATTCTTATATTCAAGTGTTGTATTGAGCTGAATTCACTGGAAATCAAGTACAAAATTTAGAGAATGGAAATCATCTGCTAACCATAATTATTGATTCAGAGCAATACTAACAACATATTTTTTATTATCGGTTAAAACTTGTTAGAAATCAAAAAATCATGTTAATTTTACTTTAATATATTTTATTCATAATTTTATAATTTTTAACTAATACAATAGTGTGTTAAGGAGTACGTTGTTAACTCTCATCATTTGAGTTATTATATCATAATCTAGTAATTATTTATAATTTTTTCTTCTATTTTTCTCTGTCATATCAAGCATTTTATAATACAATAGTCTCTATTTTTTTTTTGTAAGTTATTATACAAAATTAACGTATCAATTAATGTATAATATAAAAATAATTTCAATGATATTCATATTAAAAAGATGGTAATCTTTTGTGGAAGTTTAAATACACTATTGTATTTGTTGATATTCGCAAAGAAAAATGATTAATAAATATTTCATGCTAGAGAAAGAAAATATAATCATGATAAATGACATAATGTATTAAAAATAATAATAAATATTAATAGAGTGTTTATTTTATAAATTAATATTTCTTCAACAGACGTTTTGTGAGATTAGTTATTAATTCTCAACTTTAGAAAATGTATTATGTTTATAAACAGAAGAAAAAAAAATGCATATAGAATATGGAAGAAACAAATCCTTACCAAGTGTCTACAATGCAATTGGTTGGTCCAAGAGTTTTGGTTGTTTGTTGGACTAAGGCGTGTCAAAGTGCCTACAGATGCAAAATAGTACTAATTAAACACTTGCTAAATCATCAGTATATTGCATTCCAACACAATTTTGCACAATTGACTTTGTGAGACCTGCACATTATAAAGCTAGAGTAGTGGTATGCTGTGCTATGAAAACCATGTTTTGTTTTTGTCATTCTCTTACGGGTTATAAAGTACCAAAAGTGGTTTATATATTTTATTTCGAATAAGTTAACTATTTTTTTTTGTCAATATAAAATTAAATACACTCTTTAGTTTCACATGATTAACCAAAATTAAATCATATAATGTTTAACTAATTTGTAGTTTTAATTATTTGTTTATATATATATATATATATATATGAAAAAAGTTATATTTATACAAAATTTTATATGATCTTTTTTATAAGTAAAAGATATAAGAAAAAATGAATAATAATATGATAAAAAAAATGTTATAATAGAGTCTATATGTATTTTCCCTTTCTTTCTGTATATTAATAGGTCCACGAAATCCATATAGAATACAAGATATTTATACTTATATATAGAAATTGATTAGTTTGTAATTATTTTTCATCTCTGTATTTTTTAAGATGATTTTATTTTTAAATTTTTAAATAATAAAATAATATTGAAAGTTACTGTTATTCTACCATTCAAATAAATTAATCAATTGTTGGTTACTCATTTTATTCTACTAATTTTAAAATAACAACAATGAAAAAATACTTTTTCAGTAATTTGTTGCTCATTCACTTTGATTTAAGTGATAGTCTGACGGCTGTAAGATGTTGAGAAAGATCATATAATCACTTTAATTACTTTGCACATCACGCATGCCAACTCTTGATCCAAAAGTCACTGAAAATTTTATAATATTTTTTCCATAAATTGACTGCTGAAGTACAGACTTTAATTAAACTACTATATGTCATATGTTAGATGTGAATTTCTGATGACAAGGTCCATCACTCTAATAGTTTTAAAATTATTATACATTGAACTAATATAAAATTTTACATTTTTAGTATGCAATAACTAAGAGACATCTTACCGAGATTTATCATAATTGGGAGATAATTGAGTCTTTTTCAAATATATTTTCAGGGATTTAATTGTTGAGTGTGTAATGTGTATGAAAAAAAATGGTTGAAAATTATGACAAATTGTAATGATATTTATATTTTTAATGTTTAATAAAATTAGTTTATAAGTTGATTGAAAATTTAAAAACTTGATCACAACTTATGTAGTATTAGTTACTAGCTGAAAAGTTAAAATTTTAAATAAACTAGTTGAACTAAAACTATTTAGTAAGATTGATGTAAAATGATATATTTATTTATTTAATAATTATAGTGATAAAATAATATGTGAGTAAAATGATTTCTAAATTAAAAGAGATAAAATAAAATTAAAGTGAAATAATGAAGATAAAAAAGTAAAGAACAAAAAGAATTAAAAACTTATAAATTATTTTAATTAAATTTTAAAAATAAATTATAAGTTTTTTAAATAAAATCTTGTACCAAACAAAATTATTTTGGTTAAACTAACTTATAAATCAATTAAATAGGTTTATAATTTTTTTAAGTGCTTTGACAAACAAACTTTTGATCTCTAACTATCAATAAGTACATATTCTTTATGTAAATAATAGACGGAAAAAAAAAGTGACATTAGTAAAAGTAAACGAGGAAGCCTATTACAGATTACTCAGCCCAGTCACATATGACGAGGTTAAACAGGTGATCGTGAATATGAGCCCTCTAAAAGCTCCAGGTCCCGACGGGTTCCAAGCCTTCTTCTACAAGAAGTATTGGCCTATTGTTGGAAGAGATCTTCATAATCTGGTCCAAAATGCTTTCTCTGAAGGGCAAGCGGATCAAAGACTTCTTGACACAAACATTGTGTTAATCCCTAAATCAGACAATCCCATGCATTTCAAGGACTTCAGACCCATAAGCCTATGCAATGTAGCATACAAGGTAATCACCAAAGTTCTAGTGGACAGAATTAGACCCTACCTCTCAACCATTATTGGTCCATATCAAAGCAGTTTCATCCCTGGAAGAGGTACATCAGACAACCTCATCTTAGCGCAGGAGGCTATACATAATATTCACAATGATAAATCTCGTAAAGGAATGATCATGGTAAAGATAGACCTCGAAAAAGCGTATGACAGAGTGAGTTGGAGTTTCCTCCACGAAACGCTTAATCTATTCGGGTTCCCTGAGCGTACCATTCAACTCATCATGTGGGGTGTTATGGGTTCATACCTAAAGATTCTTTGGAATGG